ACACACACAGCACTCCTCCCCCACACAGCACCCTTCCCCCATGCACACAGCACCCCCATGCACACAGCACCCCCCATGCATACAGCACCCCCCCACACACACACAGCACTCCTTTCCCCACACAGCACCCCCACAAACACTAGGCACTCCTCCCCCACACACAGCACCCCCCACACACACAGCATTCCTCACACACAGCACCCCACACACACAGAACCCCTCAGACAGACACACAGCACCCCTCACACACAGCACTCCACACACACTCGGCACTCGTACACACAAACACATACACTTCACCCCTCGATGTAGTATGTGTGTGTATTCAGCAGTCTGTATTTATTCAGCAATTTGTATGTAATTAGTAGTCTGTGTGTATTCAGAAGACTGTGTGTATGTATTCAGCAGTTTGTGTGTATGTATTCAGTAGACTGTGTTATGTATTCAGCAGTCTGTGTGTACTCAGTATTCTGTGTGTGTGTGTGTGTGTGTGTGTATGTATATTCAGCAGTCTGTATGTGTTTACAGCAGTCTTTATGTATTCAGCAGTTTGTGTGTGTGACGGACTGCCTGGCACTCCGACCTAGTGCCACCGCCAATCGATGCACCTAGTGCTCACCGAGGAATTCCAGCACTCCACCAGACAACCATAAGCACTGCAGACCCCACTTCCAGCGATGCAGCTGCGTCAGGATTTTGCCGTCCGTCACCCACCCTGGACCCAAGACCGGGATCCAGCTTCCAGTGGGCAGACCTCTTCTACTCCCAGAGAGCGTAGCAGGAACAGCTCTTAAAGGAGCTAGTGATTATAATTCCTGGGGAGTATAGTGATATAGCAATCCCCAAGATAGATACAGCCGTTTCCCCCACACATGAGATGAAAATCTATGTTGAGGGTAAGCAGGAACAGAATTTTAATGGAGGTACACTGGCCTTTTATGCAAGTTTCCCAACAAGGGTGACACCCAGGTGGACATTTTTGGACACAGGGACACAAAGTGAATAAACCAATAAAAACAGAGTCATACTGTGAGACACTCCCATACACAAACAATAGAATCCCTCCTCTGTGCTTGGGAGATAATTGAATCAGGAACTGTACTAATATAACCCAATTATATCCAAGCACAGAAAAACATACAATTTTATGAAACCCAAAAAAGTACCTTAAGAACACATAAACCCCCATAATTACATCCCCTGATAGCCCCGATCTGGGTGAACAACATATCCTAAAATCACCCAGATCGGTTCATGGTCCTATGCCCAAAACAGTTCCAGAAAAATCAGTGCTAAAAGTCGGTCAAGTTCGATAGTCTTTTACAGGTTTCCCTGCAGTGCCCATAGTCTGTGGGCAGGAGGCTGGCAAGCAGGCCCCTCCAAGTACAAGTGGCGAGGTTACTTTAGCCACACTGTGTAGTCAGCAGTCTGTGTGTGTGTATTCAGTGGACTGTGTGTACGTATTCAGCAGTCTGTGTGTATGTTCGTGTGTGTGTGTGTGTGTATATTCATCAGACTGTGTGCATGTATGCAGCAGACCGTGTGCATGTATGCAGCGGACTGTGTGTATGTATTCAGCGGACTGTGTGTATGTATTCAGCAGATTGTGTGTATGTATTCAGCGGACTGTGTGTGTATTTAGTAGTCCGTGTGTGTATTCAGCAGTCTGTGTGTGTCGGTGTGTATGTATTCAGTGGATTGTGTGTATGTATTCAGCGGACTGTGTGTGAATGTGTTCAGCAGTCTGTGACTGTATTCATCAGTCTGTGTGTATGTATTGTATGTATGTACTGCATTTGTTGGAGATACTAATAAATATTAGCGTAATTGTATCTATTATTTAAATCATTATTTAAAATTTGTATCATTGAACTCTCTGTTGTTGTGTTCTTTTAAAACAAAAGATGTTAATTAGTTCTGACTCAAAAAGGTTCACCATCACTGGCATATGCCTTAGCTAAAACGACGACTGAATGGCAGTGTTTTTGAGTGCTTCTTGCAGAAAAACAGGATATATAAGATTACAGTATCTAAAATGGGCATTATTATCAGTTGATACAAAGAATCCTATTGCCACTTTTGAAGTATAGAAAGATTTTTCATTTTACAGCTCTATGGCAAATTGTTACTTTTTTGTGTTAATCTATATATACAGTGCATTCGGAAAGTATTCATAATCTTTTTTACATTTTTATAAACCCCTTTCCAGTCAGTACTTCTATGGGTCTCATTCACCCCCCTGGCCCCTTCACGTGTCTCATTAACCCTCCCCATCCCTTCCATGACATCATTAACACCCAGCCCCTCTATGTGTCTCATTAAAAACCCCATCCTTTCCATGACCTCATTAACACCCAGCACCTCTATGTGTCTCAATAATGCCCCAACCCCCTCCATATGTAGCACTAACCCCCAATTTCCCATGTATCTTATAAACCCCCCCAGCCCCTCAATGTTTCTCATTAACCCCCAATCCACTCCATGTGTCTCATTCACACCTACCTTCCCTCCATGGTCTCATATACCCACCAGCCCCTCCATGTGCCTCATTAACGCCTCCCAAACTCTTTAGGTGTCTCATTTATCCCCCGACCCTCTGTGTATCTCATTCACACACCCCCAGTTTCTCCATGTGTCTCATTCCACCCCAGTCCCTCTATGTATCTCACTCACACACATCTAGCCACTGCATGTGTCTCATTCCTCTTGCACTTCCATGTATTTCATTCAAAACCTCAAATGTGTCTCAATTTCCCTCCAGCCCCTCCATGTATCTCATTCGCACATACCCCCAGCCCCCCTGCCATTTCTTATTGTAGAGTGACTGAGCTGCAGATCGCAGTAAAGGAGCTTCTGTTCCTCTCCACGGTCTGACAGGGTGTGTTTCTGTGCTCTCTGTGAGCACTTCCTGTCAGACCACATAGGGTAACAGAAGCTCCTTCATTTATGCCCCCCTCCTGCTGGTCACCTTCAGGCTATTGCACCATAGGTGGACGCACACTGGCCCAAAGGTATGGAAGGCCAGTCCGGCCCTGATGGCACACCCCTAATGCATGCCCCCGCCTCCCCTTAGTACGCCGCTGCATCCTACTGCATACTACAGTGGTTTAAATAAAATGTTTTCCCATCAAGCTACACTAAATACAAGATTTGTGACACCATTGCATATATATTGTTGATGATTATGTCATACGTATGACATAAATATTCAGACCCTTAAAGGGATACTACAGGCACCCAGACCACTTCATCTCAATGATGTGTTCTGGGTACCATATCTCTGTAGTTTTGTCCCTGCATGGTAAATCATTGTTGTACTGCAGAATGTCTATGTTTACATTGCAGTATTTAAAGGCATCTAGTGGCTCTCACTTTCTATTTCAATCCAATGGTCTCACAGAGACGTAGCACTGCTTTTTGCCACGCCTGCGCAATGGCCTGCCAATGCTTTCATGTGGGAATGCATTTTTATTGGCTGAGATTATCAAGCTCAATGATCTCAGACAAGTTAACAGCTTTTTAATCCTTCATGTGGGGACCTGGGACCTAACATTTAACATTTGTATTCATTATGCAATAGTGTTCCTTTAACTCAGTACTTTGTAGAAACACCTTTAGCAATGATTTAAACCTCAAGTATTTTTCGGTATGATGTAACAAGCTTTGCATACCTGGATTTGGGTAGTTTCTGCCATTTATCTTCATAGATACTCTTAAGCTCTGTCAAGATGGATGGGGACCATCGGTGGACAGCCATTTTCAGGTCTCTCCAGAGATGTTTGACTGGGTTCATGTCCTGGCTCTGTCTGGGCCACTCAAGGCCCTTAGCCACCCTTACATTGTATTGGCTGTGTGCCTCAGACTGGGCTAACTTTTGGCCCAGTCTGAGGTCCAGAGGATCAGATTTCCATACACACTTGTATTGCTAAAGTAATAATGTGCATGTCCCTAGTTTTATATAGGTGCCACCCCCCTTTCCTATAAATGTAAAGAAATAATGCTCTTTACCTGACTTTTTTCTGTAACAAGGCTCACTCTGAGCTGTTCACCTCTCCACTTCTACAGCGTCACGCAAGAGGCATGGCCTTCTCCAGTATGGTCCAGTGCTCATCATGGAAGAGTATGGGGGAATGGGGAACTGATGTTCATGCATGGTGAGCACTTTGTGCGCATCCAATTCTTTATAGGTTAGGTTAGAGGAAGCATCTCTAAAGGCCATATTGGTGGAGTGTTGAAGTGATGGTTGTCTTTCTGCACGTTTTGTCCAGTTTGGCTGAGTGGACAGCTCTATGTACTGGTTGTTCCAAACGTCTTTCATTTAAGAATGGTGGAGGCCACTGTGCTCTTGTGAACCTTCAAAACAGCTGAAATATTTTTGTATCCTTTCCCAGATCTGTTCCTCAACACAATCATGTTTCTGAGCTCTGCATGCAGTTCCTTTGACCTTATTGCTCGGTTTTTGCTCTGATAAATATTTACAGCTTTGAGATCTGATATAGACAGGTGTGTGCCTTTCAAATCATGTCAGTCAGTTGCATTTGCCACAGAAAGACTCCAATCAAAGTGTAGGAACATCTTGAGAAATGAGATGTAAATTAGTTAAATTTGCTACAGCAAAGGTACTGAATACTTATGTTAATGTGATCTTTCAGTTTTTTTCTTTTTAATAAATTTGCAAAGTTTTTTAAAAATTCTGAATTTGTTCTTTATCATTATAGGGTATTGAGTATAGATTGATGTGACAATTACAAAAAATGTGTAACCCCCCCCCCCCCACCTAACAGTTGCACACAAACTGCATCCCTTACATACCCACTGCCTCCTCTACACACACTACAATTATATCACGTACACACACTGCATCCCTTATACACACGTACAAATGTATTTAAATCTATTTAGGTGCTATTAAAGTATGTGTAAATCTCCTGGGTCTTTTTCTACGCTTTAAAGATCTAATTTTATCACAAATTATTGTCAAAACATGATAGGATCAAATAAACATCTTAAAATTTTAATGTAAAGTACAGAATATCACATAGGTCATTATATGTCAATTGGACAAAGCCACGAGAATGCTACTCAAAGAGCTAATATTACAGATAACACTAATTTAAAAAGGACAAATCATTAACATGAATAATAGAATTACAAAGTGTTTTAATACCATATTACAAAAATGTAATGTGTGATATATCTTTAGACTTCTGTCCCAATAAAGTAAGCCTCATATAACCTTCACGACGTACATCCTCTGCCCTTACGTTTGACTTTGTGAGGACACTTATGTTTAGATTTAATGTCACTTTTCGTTTTTTCCATGTGGTGTTCATTATCATATTTAAGAGAGTGGTAATTAAACTCAGTTATGCCACAATCCATTCCATACATTCTTACATTCTTCCTTTAAGATGGAACTTCCAGCAATAGCATTGTAGGCATGTGTAACAGTGTGCCTTACCCAGAAGTGTTAAATGTCAGACTAATTGGGGATGAGACCTTTATATGCCTAACCAAAACTGAACAGTATTGTTATAAATGCTCAAATTAAATGCTATGTTAGGATGTCATAGATTAAACACAGGCACATACATATTCCCCGTGTTTCAATTCAAATGTCATTAACTGGAATAGACAAAACAGAGCAAATCTAAGCTAAAATTGATTTTAAAAAGTTTTAAAACTTTTTTAAATCAGTTTTATTTTTATTTTATTTTGTTCTGTTTTGTTAAGTCAATGGTGTTTTACTTGAAACGTGGGAAATATGTATGTGGTAACATGGGAATTACATATGTATGTTTGCAGGTTTAAACATGGTACAGACTTATAAAGTATTCCTATTTATATAGCATGCCTAGTTATATAGCTTACCTACCAACAAGTGTCTTGACATCCACAACTGCCCCAAGTTGTCACACCATATTAAGACAGCTTGACATGTTTCAATGGGAATGCATAATGGCATTCTTGTACCATAACCTCTACAAGATTTTGCAGTGGTTATAGACCTTGCGGTGTTCTCTTAACTAAGATATTTTCCCAGCCATAGTCATGTTAGACTGAGGGATATCTCCAAACAAGCCATAGTCTTTAAAAGAAGAAATTATTTTATTTGTGTCAAAGTAAAGGTTTTGTTATATTTAAAATGCTGAGTATTGAGGAACCCAGGAGGCTGCAGTGGTTATAGTACTTGGAGTGCTCCTTTAACACCCTAGTAAGAGTGTCGGGTTCAGATACAAATGAAAAGGCATCACAGTCAATATATTGCAAATTGATTTATTAGCAGAACATAATGTTTTAACACCAGGGTTATAGGCTGACACTTCTCAGAAGATTGCAAAGTGTACTGAATAAAGCTTTACTCAACACTCCCGTAATCAAAGACAGTAAACATTTGCGTATATGTCTGCAGAGTAACATGGTTATCATACTTATCAATTACATTATATATAAAATTAATGGGTGGCATATTACAAAGTATTCACAATGTTTCTGTTTGGAAGTACAGTGATTGTCAGCTCAATTACTTAAACTTTACAGGTCTTGTTTATCAAAGCAAAACAGTTCCTAATCTGGGAAGCGCTAAATGTTGAGGTATATTGCATGGGTTGCTATGGTGATACCTACTCATTTAGCACTTTGTTACAGAATACCACCATTTTGTTTCCTTCATAAATATAGCCCTGTATACTTTAAGGGTTCCAAGGTCACAGTGTGGTCGATTTTATATGGTCACATCCAGTCTGCTGACTTTGCTTTGGGTTCAAAATTTTTTACTGTCCCTGTTCCTAGTAGACATCATAAGCGCTAATCAGTAGTCAAAATGTTACTCTTCATATTAGCATATAAATTAAAATCACAATTTAAGCAGTTATGCCGGTCTTTCTTCTGTATTTCCAAAATATCTTACATGGCAATAACAAAATCATTTCACATGACTGCAACAACAAATCCAGAATTTTTTATTTTGTGTATGACATTTTTATTTTATTTTTGTAATGAGATGCTGTTTCAAGATCCAGTCCAGAGGTCATAAAACAAATGGGTGGTAATAGACAATGGGTTCACATATTGAAGTTGCGATAGCTTGATATTTATTCAACACCCTTCATGAATTCCAGGAATTCTAAAAGATATTAAAAAATATATATATTTATTTCACTTTCAGAGTTTTATACATAACAAACTTATTATAATTATGTAATATATATATATATATATATATATAGTAGACTTGGAGATTTGTTATGTTCCGAACTGTAATTCATCCGAACCTGGTCTAACTGAGTGATCATCTGAATTGCAGAGCCTTAAAGGATCACTATAGTGTCAGGAAAACAAACTTGTTTTCCTGACACTATAGCATCCTTATGACCCCACCCTCAAGGCCCCCCTGCCTTGGCACTGAAGGGGTTATAACCCCTTCAGCTACTTACATTTATCCAGCGCCAGGCTAACTGGCACTGGTGACCTCTCCTCCCCCGCCGACATCAGCTCCCGAGTGGAGCGGAATGCGCATGTGCGGCAAGAGCCGGGCACGCATTCAAACAGTCCATAGGAAAGCATTTCTTAATGCTTTCCTATGAACGTTCAGCACGCTGGATGCGAATTTCGCATCCAGCATCACAGATGCGCCTCTAACGGCTGTCAGGAAGACAGCCACTAGAGGATGGATTAACCCTGCAATGTAAACATAGCAGTTTCTCTGAAACTGCTATGTTTACATCTGAAGGGTTAAAACCTGGGGGAGCTGGCAGCCAGACCACTTCATTGAGCTGAAGTTGTCTGGGTGACTATAGTGTCGATTTAAGTTGAAATGTAGATGAATCACAAAACAAACGAAGTGTACAGTCTGTTTTGATTTATGATTCAGAATTCCGCCCATGGCACCAAAAAAGTAGATGATTGACAGGGAAAAAAATTATTTATGGCTAGGTGACTTGCTGAGAATTCAGCAGTAGAGGGAGAAAAAGCAGGAGCAGTAATATATATATATATATATATATATATACACACATATATGAATAAATACATAATATATAAATGTAATTTTTATTGCTCCTCATTTTCCCTATTTTGGCTACTTTTTCTACTTGATGTGTGAAATAAATGGCAGGAAAACGCACCTATCAGCGTATGCAAAATATAATATATACATCATTTTTATGATAGGTATATGTTTTGCAGTACACTGATTGGCCTATTTTTGTGCTCTTTAGTACGTCCAATTCATTTTCCAGAATCTCTTTACGGTAACAAGATTTGGACGAGTCGAACCACCATATTGCTCAAATTCTGCCTTCATGAAAATGTTCTGCCAAAACATTTTTTTTGCACTGTACACGTCTAATAAAGCACTCCATTTCATTTGCAATCCATTAAAACCATCACAGTCAAAACAGCTCATTCATGTTGAGCATCATAATGACAATATTATAGGGGTTACTAAGTACTCATTAGGTTGGGTTCTTAGGGTGGGGAGTACTTAGGAATATGGCATAGGATAATTAATATAATAATCTAGTTAGAATTTAGGGGTTTAGGTACGACACAATGTCTTATATAGTGTACCTGCACTCTGATGTAGACTATATCTCTAATCATTCTCAACCAGGTCAGTGTCAATGCAATAAATTGGGGTGCAACCTGCACTGTAATAAGGCACTATATTATAGATGGAGCTCACCATCACATACTCATTCAGTCCAAGATTATTGACAAGAAGGGCATGGGGTTCATTCATTAAAAACTTAATTAACAGCACATGTGCAAAATTTCAATAAAAAAAAAAAATCTCCATTTCAGCTGAATTTGCCCTTTTTTTACCTTAAAAGTCACAATCAATTCAGTTTAGTTTATAGGCCACCATATTTGTGGCTCGTCAGTTGATACTGAACTGAAACTCACATCATCCTCTTCCCATTGTTCATGTCTAATAAACAGTCTCCCAAAAAATTTCTTATCGCCTGTATTTATATACACTTCCTATGTTTTCATAACCTTTGTGCTGAAATCTGTCTTACTGCCATCTAAAGATTTAAATTACACATAAACCGAACAATCCCTGTTTCTAAGATGTTGCGAAAGGTTCTTTATTTGATAAGGAAATATTATCACTCTTAAGAGCTTATCTTTTAATTTGGAAAATAACCAACGAACACATGGGACTCTGCAGATGCCAAAAGACCAACCCTTCCTGAACAGCCATCTTACAATGCTGTCAGCCACCCCATGTCTGCCCTAATAAGGGTTAATTGACTTGTAGGGGTTCATAACAACATCCCTTTCTGGCTCATTAGGGTCATTCATTAAAAACTGCCTTTTGGCTAAATCAGAAATGTGAATTGTTGGCAGGCCTGCCTCGACGCGGCAGGTGAGCTTACATTGTAATGGGCATTTCAGTGGTACTAAAAACTATTATTATTATTTAAACATGCTTTGGGATTTAGGATAGTGCACGGGATAATGCACTGGTGGCAGACTGACCACTGGTGGCATGGTAGTCCTTCCATGGAACCCAAGTCCACCTTTATCCCCATCCTCCAGGTCCCACCCTGGAGTGAGGTGTTAAGTCACCAAAGTAGGATCATGCTGCCAGAAGAACCTAGCCTCAGCACAGGATTTCATCATCATCATCAACATATGGATAGGATGGATTAGATAAAATGTGTCTTACTTACCAAAATTAGATCTCCATTTTACTTACCATCATAATCAATTCTGCCGTCATTATTTTTGTCTCCATCTCTCATCAGTTCCTCGATGTCATCTTCAGTAATTGTTTCTCCGGTTGCTTCTAACATGGTTTTAAGCTCATCAAGATCAATGTACCCATCAGCATTTCTGAAAATCAAAGTGAAGCATCTTAAAAATATATTTTTACAAAATACAATACAACTAGATCATCTCCTTCACCCTCACCCTGTGTTTTCTCGCTACTACAATAAATAGTTTTATTTATAAGACAGCCAATTTGAAATTAAAGAAGAGCTCTTACATGGCATTGAAGAAAGATGACGCCCAAGTAAATGACATTTTGCCTAGTATAGGTAAGGTTAATTTTGTTCTGACTCTATAGATATGTTTATTCTTTCTCTAGAAGTTACTGTCATTTAATAGGCTTCTATCGGCACATTGATGATTTGCTCTATGTGGCTTTGAGAAATCTGTACTGTAAATCACAGAGTGTTATATGGCCAGTAGTAACACATCAGCTGACCCAAGAATTAACATGGAAATCAAACCTGTTTTATGCTAATGAGTCTGTAAAAAAAAAATACAATAACAATTGTACCGACAGAGGTTCTAGTGCCATAAAGCTTTAGATCGGAAATAACTGAAACTGGTTGTTTCACACAAGCACGCATACAACAAACAATAAAACAAATATAATCCTTTTAGATTAATAACATTACTTATTTTATAATAATAACAACATTACTTCTAGCTACATTCTCTGAGCTGTGATTGGGAGGGGGATTTCACATGAAATGTGGTGTATCCAACACAGCCTGATAATGGGCCTACCATGAAATATATGAATGAAAAGGATGGTAATAGCGACAAAGAGGGAAGCAGACATGATATAGCAGGGCAAGTTGATTAGTCCAGCCAAGTGGGAAGAGTGTAGACTGGATGTACATGTAGCCCTCCAGACCATCCCATAAATTCTGGCTAAATAGCTTTCTTACTTGTCAAACATTCGGAATAGATCTGATAGTTCTTCTTCTGATTTTCCTTTGCTGTCATCTTTCATACATCGGACCATCATTACCAAGAACTCATCAAAGTCTACCGTGCCGCTACCTAAGGATTAAAAAAAATGCTGTTAGTGTGACTCCAATTCTTTAACGTGTATTATCTTAACATGTTTTCTAATATAAAGCTTGATAAAACCAAATATAATGGACCTCCATAAATATAGAAATTTTAAGGAAAAGCTTCTCAGCATTGTAATCATTATACGAAGCTGCAGTGTCCATTTAAGATGTGCACATCATTTACAATCAATAGGAGCCATTACAGTAAAGCCTGTCATCACTTGAAGGCTTATCAATAATTAGGGCTGTTAAACTGATTATCCATAAATAAAATCAGAGGTTCTTGTAAGACTTTCTGGTTTCTTGGTTACATAATACAGGGATTGCACTGGTCTACAAAAAGCTAACAAAGGTTGAAAGCTTCTGATAAAGTGCAAGATATAAGAAATAGCATAACTGCATTACTCAGACAATAGAACATTGGAGATGGAGATTGATAAGAAGTAGTAGAGCAGTCTTACAGGAAATACATTGCAAAGTTCCATAACTTATGGCTGGGTAAGGAAAATACTCATCACAGGGATTACCAAGAAGGCAATGACAGCTTTATATAAGCTGCAAGAATTTGTGGAAGTAACTCATTACAGCCTACACATCACAACAATTTCACATATTGTTCACACGTCCGAGCTGTGGAGAAGAATTGCAAGATGAAATCTGGTTCTCGCAAATAGATACTAGAATATCTAAGCCCACATACATGCATAATCTCCAGAAACAATATGGGAGACAGTTTTATGGCCTGATGTGCCCAAAGACAAACATTTTGGTCTTAATCCATCTATATTCACGTAGACTTGGCAAAAAGTCAGTGCTGATCATTAATCAAGGAGAGCAGACAGGTATGATAAGAAATTGATGGTATGCAACAAAACTTGCAGATCGGTGGTAGGCAACCTTCGGCACTCCAGATGCTGTGCACTACATCTCCCATAATGCTATTACAGCCATGATGCTGACAAAGCATCAAGGGAGGCGTAGTCCACAAGATCTGGCATTCTGATGTTGAACATAGTGGAAATGTGAATGGCATTAGTAGAAGCCATCCAACTAGGTATCCTTGAGTTAATTTTGTGGCACCAAATGGGCTAAGTACATTTTGGCCATGCTTGAATGGCTGGAGCAATCCAGCAAAGCAGAATACTTTTGTACACCACAGCTCAGAGTAATATTTCAAAGAAAAAACACACATCACCAATCACCATACAAATATTTTTCTAGATAATGAGGAATTGAACGTTTTCCTTCCTTATGGCATCCCAAGCAAAAAGCATGTTTTTTTATTTAGAAAAAACTACACTTATTGATAATCCTGATGAATTCAAAACAAAACTGAATGTAGTGGTGGTTATGTCCCTTCTTATATAATTTTAAAGTGAGCAATACACACGTTATTCAAAGTAATTTATATTTATCTTCTTTATTTGCAATGAATAGACTGGTTACACTAAAAGACCATTCTGAGCACCAAACCACCACATGCCAAAGAAGAGATTTTAATGAGTTCACATGTGACCTACTACTTTTTTGTGTTAAACAGTTTTTTTTGAAAATTTTAACATTTAACTGGAGCCACCATCTGGCTCCCTCTTATCTGGGTGCTTTCAAATGCAGAAGTATTTGCTTGAGCAGTAGTGATAGGCTGAGAGTGTCAACTGATGCTCTCAGTTACTATCAATGGCTGCCCAAGGTGAGTAATACTAGACAAAAATACATATATTTCAGAAATATTACTTGCTATGGTCAGCCAGTCATAGGCTGAAATCAGAAGCAGCCAGAGGAAGGAAAGGCCACTTGGGGTACTCCACTTAAGAGTTAAACTCTTTGATAATGGTTTAACACAGGGTTCTCCAAACTTTTGCCCTCTAGATGTTGCTGAACTACAACTCCCATGATTCTCTGGCTATCTATTTCTTTCGAGTTGTAGTTCAGCATCATCTGGAGGGCCAGAGTTTGGGGAATCCTGATTACCACTAAGAGGTATGAAGGTGTCGGTGAACTCCAGTTACCATAACTTCTTTGACATGGAATATATTAGAATATACATTTAACATAAATTTAAAATAGATCAGAGCATCACATAGAAAGATTTATACTAGTTATTGGTGATTTTCAATTATTTATTCAATGATTTCATTTCCATAGGAGTGAAATGCTCCTTTCACTATTAAAGTCAATTAAGTTACTTTTCACCTGCATCTCTAACAAATCCTGTGTGATGCTGCATTTGTTTTACTAAGTAACAGACTTAATGTAAATGTATGTACTTACCATCTTCATCCACCTCATCTATCATCTCCTGAAGTTCCTCAGGGGTGGGATTCTGACCAAGCATCCTCATTACTTTCCCCAATTCCTTTGTGCTGATACAGCCATCTTCTGCGTCTTGTACAAAAATATCAAAAGCTGCTCTGAATTCTGCAGGGAGAAAAGATTACAGAAAAGCTCATCATGCAAATCTTAAAAAATAGACTTAAACACAATTTGTATAACATAAATGAAATAGTACTCTCTTCTGTGGTCAGTTAACACCTAACTTATAAAAATAGATAGGTCTGAAAACCTCAATAAAAATATTAGGTTGAAAAAAAGAACTGCTTTAGAGCTACAATGTCAGTTGAAACATGGAACATGTTTAAGAAGTCTCACCACATCTAGTTTTTAAGGCAGTATATTCCACTGAATGACCCATGAGTGGAGACATGTTTTGGCCCTGACACTTGATATTTGGAGTTTTTTTTACTAGGTTGTGATTTAGGGAAACCAGACTGCTTACTGCTTCAGGGTTTCTTACCATTTTTCTGCTCCTCTGTAAGTTGCTCAACCTAAAATAAAACAAAGGTAAGCACGATTCAGAGTTGTATTCACTTGGGATTCTAATATTTTTTAATTCAAACACAGTTCATACTCAAGCAGAAAGTGAAATCTTTATTTACAGTTATGTTCTTTGCAGGCAACCGACTATTTACATCTTCCTGATCTAGTTTCATTGACAATAAATGAATCATATTTTTTTTTTCTTCCTATTATTAATCTGTTTTTAGGAATGGGGACACTCTCGGCCAATCAGCGGAGCCCCTATCTGCAGCATTCCAAAGCTCACTATTTGAAGAATATAACAGTGGAGGGACAGTAATACAGCTAACCAGGCTAGAGAGAACACTTTCGAGTTAAGCCATTCGTGAGCAGTATAACTCCTAAAGAAAGGCTGGTGCCAGGGACCTCCGGGCACCATAACAACTTCATTCTGATTTAAATATAGTGATATGCCCTGTGCCCAGCCTTCTGAGTTTTTCTATAATTATTGACTTGTATTCATCACTTACTCAAAACAATAGCGTGTTACTTACCAATAGACATTCTACTGTAAGAAATTACCTCTGCAGTACATATGAACCTAAACAATTTTTTAAACGTGAAAATGGGTAAATGTTTAGCAAAGAATAATAGCTATAACTGTAGCAGCTGCACATCTATTTCGGTTAAAGTTAAACACACAATTGTTTCATTCTAAGTAAAACACTACGAATCTCCTCAATGTGATATAAATTACCTTTCTTCTCAGGCCGGCTCTACCATAAGGTGGCACATGTGGCAACTTTAGGGCACACTGGCCCAGGGGATGTACATCATCCATTTTAACGGCTGTGCTGTGCGCTCTCCTCCTGTCTGTCAAATGGATCATGTGCACCCCACGGGCCAGTGCACCCTAAAGTGGCAGCATGTGCCAATCTCTCAGTTACTGCAGCATGGCCGAACCGCGGACCGGTGTGGAGGAGCTCCTGTATCACACAAGGGGCTGGGGGAGAAGGAGGCAGAGGGGGTGAGGAAGAGGAGAAAGAGACAATGTCCTTTGGGGGAAGATTCACACAGAGGGGCTGGGAAAGGGAGAACGAGAAAAAGGGACTGGGGGAGACGCAAACTGAGGGGACGGGGAAGGGGAGAAAGAGACAGACAAAGGGGCTGGGAGAGGGGAAGAGAAACGCAGAGAGACTACAGAAGTGAAGAGAGAGACACACAAAGGATCTGGGGTAGAAAGAGACACAAAGGATCTGGAGTAGAAAGAGACACACAAAGGAGCTGGGGTTGAAAGAGAAACACAATGGGCTGGAAGGAAGTAAGAGACACACAAAGGAGGGGGTGTAAATAGGTGATAAGATATACGAAAGAGGGTAAGACATTCAAAAGAGAGGATAAGAAACACAAAAGGGGGATTAAGGGACACACAGGTGAAGGTGCATTTTTGGGGTAACAGGGGTGGTGTCAAATGCATCTTGTTTAGCCAAAATTCCTTGCACCGGCTATATTTATATAGCTACAACATATTCATACAATCATAGTATGAGGATAATTGACAACCAGTAGTTGAAACAAAATATTACCAGAGAAAAGAGGTGAAGAAAGTCCTGCTCAAACAAGCTCACCATTCTAAATAACAAACCCTTAATACCTTAACACACAGCATGTGACTTAGAATGTAAATTTTACAAGGAACAAAATAAGAATTCTTAAGAACTATAAGTAATTTGCATTTTCTTTCTTTTGTTATTAGAGATCCGTTTCTATTTAATAAAGCTTCCTCATTTTCAAGCAAAGAGTAAATATTTTATAACTATTCCTTAGACAAACTAAAGAAAACGATAACAATAAAAAGACAAATAAAGGAAGACAAATAACAAAGAATATCTTTTCACTAACAGGGTTATTTACCCAAGTGAGAATCTAAATAGAATTTAAAATTTAAGATCACGGTAGCCAAAATAGAAGCATACCCGACTTCAAGTTCAGCTATTTTGAAATTAAATTTCAAATTCATTTTGAAATCTCCTATCAGTAAATAAACCCCCGAGTATGTGCTACAAAAAATATAAATATGGCGATCACCTGTATTTGATATAATATTTTTAGATCACAGATCTTCTGGATTGGAAAGCTACACATTTTGAAGAATTGTGAGTTGTTCCTTGGAAAATGCATCAAAAATATTGTCAATATGTTCAAAAATAAATTAAGTATGAAATTTAAGCATAAGTACGATGTGAACTGAGGGACTAGCACTATTTAAAGAGACTAACGGATGGGGGTGGTTAGGCTGCTTGTTTTGCTTATTATTGTTTTATGAGTTTTACTGATTTATTGGTCCTTGAGGAAGTCCCATTTGCTAGGGACAAAACATGTAGAACCTACAGCTAATTTTATATTATTTTAACTTTCGTTTTGTATGTACCAATAAAGCCGCTTTAAAAAAAAATCTACCACCCGGAGTCCTGTGAACGGATCCAGGAAGGGCTCAGAACCCCCCCCATCTCCATTGGGGGAGGCACCTTTGGAGTGCATACTACCAAACTCTTGTGAGTGTACTACATCACAGCGTAATAATCATTTTTATACTGTATTACACTATGTTTTTTATTTTTTTGTCTCTAGCTGTATCCAATTTTCAGTGTGTATATATATATATTGGTTGTCAAGGGATTATTCCCTGAGAAGTAATCTGAGGGAAGCTGTCTTTTTATAGATAAGTACTATTTCATTTAATTTCATTATATCTTTGTTATCACCTCAACACAATATGGTTTTGAGGTGAGGGTTGTTTTTAAATATGATGTAAGCCTCTTAATGTGATTTCATCAGTACATTTTGCAAGTAGCATGTATATAACCAATGGAAAAATTAGTATAGGACTCACCAATAGTGGTGGGCTTATATACGATATGACGTACAGTGTGACTAAGTACCACAATTTTTATTTTCCTTAAGACGTGATTTTAAGTAGCTTTGCAAAATATGAGACTGTCATGATAGATCAGTGATACCCTAGTGATGTGTCTTACACTTTCAGTATGCCTTTTACTAAACTCACGCTTGCAGGACTTCTCGCAAGCGGCTCCCTTCCTATGGAATAGCCTGCCTACCGCCATCAGACTCTCCCCTAGTCTTCAATCATTTAAGAAGTGCCTTAAAACCCATCTCTCTAGGAAAGCTTATGGCCTCCTAGAGCAACTTCTACCCAGGGCCGGTGCAAGGATTTTTACCACCCTAGGCAAAAGTAAAGTTTGCCCCCCCATGTGACATCACAATGCCCCACCCATATGATCTGCCATGTTAACTAACACCAGTGCTGCAGTGCCGCCATGTTTACATTAAAAGGCCTGCAGGGACAGGCTATAGACACCAGAACCACTACATTAAGCTGCAGTGGTTCTGGGGACTACAGTGTTTCTTTAATGTGAGGTAAATTAGAGATTAGTGCCACAAATAATATACTAGATTGCCTACTTACAACCAGATGAGGATGATGATGGGCTCTAGCTCCTGTCTGGCTCCACTGGTCTGGTGAAGAACAGGATCTCTGGAGGCTGTTTGTAACTGTGGTCACAAAAATCAATGTTCTGGGAGAACGGGAAGCAGCTCAATTTTTTTGGGGCCCTTTACACAGTTCAAGGTCTGGGTCCCAGGGTCCACCTTCATGTTCCACCAATGAGTTTGTTCACGGGGGGTGGAGTGTGTAAGGGATGTCCTGATATGTGTGTAAGGAATGCATTGTGTGAATCTGTGTTTGGATGTGTAAGGGCTGCAAGGTGTGTTTCTGTGTATGTACGGGATGCAGTATGTGCATCTGTAAGGGGTGCATTGAGTGTGTTTAAGGGGTGCATTGAGTGTGTGTGTGTGTGTGTAAGGAATGCATTGTGTATTTTTCTGTGTGCAAGGGGTGCATTGTGTGTGTGTGTGATGGATGTCAATCTCTTTTTTCCCTTGTCACTCTCTTCTCCCCTCCCCCTCCCCACTCTAATTTCCCCCCCCCCTGTCAATTTCTTTCTCCCCCCTCCCCTACCTCTGTTGAAGTGTGGCCGAGCCCTGTATGGTCTGCGGGTACAGGGAGCTTTTGTTTCCTGTACCCAGCTGGACTAAAATGAAGTGCACACTCTGTGTGCCTTTCCTGTTAGTCCGGCCGGGTACAGGAGACAGATGCTCCCTGTACCCGCGGACCATACAGGGCTCGGCCACGCTACAGTGAACTGCTGCTTTTGAAACTACGCCTATAAATGCAAAAAGTGAATGTACAAAAACAATGATAGTCTGAGATACCCACACTGCTAACATGCCCCCTAACATGTGCCTGCATTTCATGATGAAATACACAGTCCATATCAGGCCTTTCCTGATTGGCCCCATCTAAGATTACCAGAGATCTGTCACTCTGTGTCTCAGAGATGGGCTCTCATTACTCAGCTCTCACTATAATTTTTAGACAATGAGATAACAGTTATTCATTAAAATGGTATGGAGGTGAAACATGCATGTTTAATTGTATAGTCTTTTTAGAATATGTTTTACTGAAGACAACTCACAATAATAACAATTAAATCTGCCCTAAAAATATCTCTCTTTTTTTCATATATGTAATGTACGTATTTTAAAGGGACATCTAGGTACCCAGACTTGATAGGTGTTATGTGGAAGTTCGGTTATAGTTAGTAATTATGGCTGTTTTGTTTTGATTTGTTTGTTTTTTAAATAATCTAACATTTTACTGTGTAATAACAACCTTTCTGCCTCTCTCTTCCAACACACAGTGTTTCTCTTTTTCTCACCTTTTTCGATGGGATCATTTCAGCAACCCTGTACAAATTATGTGATCATGATTGGATACATCTTTTTAATGAGAGCTCACTGCAGATTCTGCGCAACATGTTTATTTGCATCAAAGATAGGAACTTCTCTAAAATGTGAGTATCTGGTTCATTTTTATTGGTTTATTTAATTTTTATAATTTATTGTTTTTTCATATACATCTCCTAATAATAAATGAGTCCGCTCAGGCCTGGAGTATCCCCTTAAGAAGAACGTTAAAATGTATAGATTGAAAAGTAAATAACAAAGTATTGCAATAGCAGCACAATAATTGATAACATTTGCCTTTATTATTTGGAGTATTAAAATAACAGCTGAGGCTTTTTATTGTTCTGGCTTTCGAGCTGAATGGGTGAGTCACAATTGGCTCTGCATAGGTTTAAGATGCATACCCCTGTTGGTCTTCTGGTATATTTAAAGTAACACAATCCCTTAGCATGTGTTCTATATTTAGGGACCAGATACAGGAGTAGGAGAGAGAAAGATAAAGTATTTGATTGTTCCCAGTAACGCCACAGCACTGGCATTTAACATTAGGCCTTTTATCTACTCTAAGCACTCAAACTTGGCACCAGAATTAGCATTGTGATAGAGACGTGAAATTCAAACCAAATTTAGCCTTCGCTTTGCATTACCTTATCAAGGCATGAAAGGTGCAGATACCACCTTCCCTGCTTTTATCAACATTATTTTATTTATAAAGTGAAAACTTATTCACTCACATTGTAATAATTTTATTATTTTTACACTGTAATTAGAAATATAAATGTTAGTGTTAAATGAAGATTGTTACACTTTACCACAATGGGTTAATTATTAATTTGAAAGCAATATATATATATATACCATTGCACGATATCAAAGAAAGAAAGTACAATCTACAAATTCATGTTTCACAAGTACAACAAATAACTACAATTATTAAAATGCAAAATAAAAAATGCAGTTTGGGTTATTTTCTTATTGGTCCATCAGCCTATTCGCTATGGTTAATTGGCATATGAGGCTAAGAGTAGTCTAGAATAAATGGGCCCATTGAAGTAGCATTCAAATTATAGAGGGATCATACAGGGCTGGTGCAAGGATTCTTGCCCTAGGCAAGAATTCATTTTGCCGTCCCCTTGTGAATGTAACTTCATTCCCTCAGAGGTTTATTCACTAGACTCTGAATTTCACTGAAGAGACATTTATGGAAAGAGGATACACTGAGTAGACATTAAAAGGAAACTATAGTGCCAGAAAAACAAACTTCTTTTCCTGGCACTAGAGCTTCCCCTCTGTCAAACACCCCTACCTCGTGGTGCAAAAGGGGTAAAAAAAAAGCCTTCCATCCCTTACCCGGGTCCAGCACTGATGTCCCTCAGCCCTGGCTCGGTTCCATTTTCACTCCTCAATGGCCGCATTAGGATTTCCGTCATAGGAAAGTATTATAAAATGCTTTCCTATGGGGTTCTACGTGACGCTGGACGTCCCCACGCATAGCCACTAGAGGTGTAGTTAACCCTGAACCGTAATTATTGCAGTTTGTTAAAAACTACAATAGTTACTTTTGAAGGGTTAAGGGCCCTGTGACCACTTAATCTCACTGAATTGGTTATAGAGTCTGGAGTTCCCTGTCTTTCCATTCAGTGTTAAACAAGAGCACATCCCCTCTGTGCTGTTTGGGCCAATCATTAATTGTTAGCTTGAGCAGCGGTGATTGGCTGAGAGTGTCAGCTGAATGCTTTTAGCCTATCAGAGCTCCCATCACTGGTATGAATCTGTATGACTACAAGGAAATGTGTACTTTCTGCCTTAGCTACATCTCCAGCAGGGGCCGGAGTTGTGATTGGCCAGGGAGCCTTATTTAGTGTTAAGCTGCTGAAACATCTTTCAACACTGAATGGAGGGGCTGTGCCAGGGGATTCCAGACAATATAACCAATTCAAATAGATTAAATGGCTATAGTGACTAAGTGTCGCTTTAACAGTGATTTAGCACACCTGAATCCTGCTTACCAGTACAATTATTGTGAATAAAAAATGAGGAGCAGAGGCGGTCTTAGGAATATTAGTGGAAGGATTGCACCTATATACTCATTTTATCATGCCCACTACAATAAGCGGCAGTGCCTGAGTGAATGAGTAAGAGGAAGCATTCTATGAAAATATACACAACGCAACATGACACAGTCCAGATTAAATACCCAGAGATTCTGGCATACTCAGCTGAATAAAGTGTCATTTTTTTCATATATTGCTCTTTTATATTTTTTGGGGTGTATTTTTATGCAGGTTGCCCTGAAGATGCCCTATGTTTTGTCACTGAGCCTTTGTTTTAGAATATGCATCTATATATCTTACCATTGTTTAAGTGAAAATGCCAGGTCAGCTGTTATTATTCTTCTGATAAGTTATTTCTCTCTGAATAACAATTAGTTAGTCTAGTGCATAAAATCATATTAGTACATTTATATCGATTCTGCCTTTAGTAGAGACTTTGAACTAATGCTGAGAACTAATGAAGCTCTGCAAATTTTATTATTAAAAAACCTCACAGCACACCTTTCTCCTCATGTTTTATTTTTTTTATTTATAAAGACCCAATATATTTTTCGGTGTTCTAAATTAGAGAAGCAGGAGATTCTGATGGCTCTCCCCAAATGAACTTACAATATGGTTTCATATATTAATCATACCTCCCCACATTTCAAATGGACAAAGAGGGACATTTTAATGTTAGGGGTGTGAGTAGGATGTGGTCATGAGGACATGAGAGTCATTCTAAGAAATATTTGGTGACTTACTAATTACATTTATACCACTAAAATGTAATTTAGGACAAAAGAGTTGGAGTGCTGGAGCTGTGTTATACACCAAGCCCTTCGTAACAAATTGTATGAAATGCAATTAGTCAGTGACAGTGGTTGTACTTCCTGTGTCACAAAGGGATTAAATATGTTAATTTTAAACCGAGTTCATTGCCATGCAGTTGTCTCAAGGATCTCAAACTCTAACCCGCATATGTTGATGGCCTACAACTCCCAGAATTCTTAAAATGCAATAAATGGCCAGAAAATCAAGGTATTTGTATTATGCAGCTCCAGAGTTTGGGACGCCTGCCTTGGATCAAATCTAACCACATAGGAGGATTTTACCTCTGAATTGTGTCTATCTCAGTGGTTTCCAATCCAGTCCTCATGGCCCATAGGACTGGTTTGGAAACCACTAGTCTATGTAATTCCTCCCCATGTCTGTATATTAAATGTTATGAATGTGTAAATTATATAAATAAATTATAGGAGGTATGTAGCGACCCAAAATGTAAAAGGGAAGCTTAGAATGCGGCATTCACTTCCCCAACCTTCTCAAGGACATTTTGGGTGAGTCATGACGCAGAGATTCTTTAATAGGCTAAAAAGTGTAATTCCCTTGTAATAATGATATTGCACCAGCATTTGTGCCAAAAGTTCCAAATTTGGAACACCTTCTCCACCAGCCAAGCTTTTGAGGATACCAGGGAAAGATGTACTATGAAGTCATGTTTAAAAGTATTTGTGCTGCACAAGGCTAGAATTCCAGAGCATTCCTGCCCTTGCGTAAACAATTCAGCATTGCTCTTTAGATGGCAAGCTCAGTGTGACAGCCTTGTAACCACCGGTAATACAATTTGCCTGTCCACAACAGCACACACCCACTCCCCCATCCCCCCACCCCTCCCCATTTCCACATGTCTATCTCCAATATCAGCAGTTTTCAATGTTTTTGCGAAGCAGGAGTTTTCCAGTCCCCAGGTCTCTTTTTTTAGAATCACCCTTTTGCCATGCAAAGAACAGTGAAGATGTTCAGGCTAGTCATTAGATGCCCTCTGGCCCCATGTTTATTTTACTCCCAAATCTCTTCATGCATGAAAAATTGTACTGCAGACTACAGAACTATTTTTGATATATACATTTTCATATTATATAATATTTATGCACCATACTATAAGGGAATATCCCTCGCTGTACCAACCAGAGACATATCACATTCTGTCTCATGCAGCACGTGATAAATCAAAGTCTGTATAAGGAGGTGAGACATATAACAAACTATATCATTCTGCAGGATAATTATCACGCTCCGTGGTGGTTGGGGAAGTTTAACGTTTGTGGCGTCAATTTGAATTTGACTTTGAATTGACTAAGAATTCCCAACAAAGCTCACTTATGTAAATAACAATGACTTTGTTTTTGCTGCAATCTGATCACATGCCATCACTATATCCTTATAAAAAAAAAAAGGATCACACACAATATCATTTTATAAACTAGGCATTACATGTACATTTTGCACAAGTTTACAAGCACAACAAAATCAGCATTCTGCTATAATGTATCAGACAGCCCTATGATTCACCTGTGCAGAGGCACTATAACAATAACCATTCCATTAATCTGCTCACTGTTTAGAGCCCCTGCTGGGCTATGTATCAAGGCCTACATTTCACAGATGAAAAAGCCTCTTTATTAATGATACCACCGGCTATATCAGGCTGCCTTGCCATTGTTCCCTGATCCATTGTTCCATATATAGATGAAGAATGCATACCCTTTGTAAATGGCATGAAATGTAACCCCAAGTGCTGACAGCAGGCATACATTCCTTGCTCTACATTCCAGTACAAAGTTTCTTACATGTGGCTTCTACAATCCAATCTAGCATTGTTTTATTAATAGCAGTAGGCATAAAAGCATACAGCCAAACAATTAACTTTTTAATGCACCAAATGTATAGTGTGGATTTATAAGCACATGTTGGTTTTGCTATATTAGAAATATAAAAAATGCATTTAGAACAGAAAAAAATGAGGCAAGATCCAATTAAATAGAACGTGCAATTCTTAAAGAGTTTAACCAGTACATTTATCTGCTTGTAGCGAAATAAAGTCCTGCTTTCCAAGAAGAACCATAATGATTTCAAATCACTATTATAAATCTGTTTTTTTCTAATTCATATACAGGGGTTGAGAAAAGGTTGATCCTTTGGTGTGACAGCTAAAAATTCTAAACAAGTAGGTAAGCATTGGATACATAATATATAACAGTAGTTGGTTTATACTATGATCTTCCCCCACCCTCAAAATAAAAATTAAAAAAAATCTCACTCATTAAAGCCTAGATGCAATGGAGTGGAACCATACAATTATAATGTATGGGCTGTGTGGGTTGTCCATTTGACACACAACCTAATAACGCAATTCTGTTGAGAGATCAATGTGTTATATCCACAAAGCACACCACATCTTCCTATCAGAAAACCTGGATGTGAGAGTTCTGTAAACTAGTCTTAGATATGAAAACACAATGTTAACCTCACTTCAATTAATAAAAAGCAGATATTTAACTAATATCTAGAAAAGTGATATGAAGAACACATTTTTAGGAGGAATATTATCCTGCTAATTGCAAACCCAGACCAAAAAAAAACACTGGAAACCGTGTTTCAATGCCAATCCTAGTCCTTAAAGAGACACTATAGTCACCAGAACAACTGCAGCTTAAAGAAACAGCGTGCAGCATTGGTGCTCTGCATATAGACGCTGTCTATGAGGAGATGCTGGTTAGCGCATCATGGTGTTTTTCTGCGCATGCGCAATAGCCTCCCAAATGCTTTTCTAAGGGAAAGCATTGTGTTAGCTGAGGTCATCAAGACTGATTTACACAAAAATATGCAATATGTAACTAAAGCTGGCTCTAATTATTTCCTTTCCAGATCAACTCTTTTGAAAACATTTAGCAATTTGGTTTTCTTTCACTTAAGTTAGTTGTTTAGTAAATAGTCCTCTAAAGTTATTTTACGGCATCTGGGCAGCAGTATCTTCAGCCAACCAGAGAAAGCACAACACCAGTGAACATGATAGGTTTTTGTTTATGCTATTCGTGTTGGACAGTTGGTATTGGAAATGCTGGCTAGAGATATTTCAAGGTCATTAGCTTGAGTGTTTGCATATCAGGCTTGGGCAATTGTGATTTACAATGCATGTACAAGCTGTGCTTTACATACTATATATTATGTATCAAAGCAGTTTGCTTTTAAATAGTACAGTAAATAATATTCAATGTCTCATTTTACTTTAAAAAAAATGTGATGAAAGGAAATATCTGATTAATGGAAAATACTGATAATACTTACTGTTTACTGGTATATGGGGAAAAGAGGGATTATTCAATAAACACTTCCAGTGTGGTTTCGATAAAGTTTAACTGATAGAGATACAGAATTGAGTAATGCATAGCATCAGACATGATAGGATGATACAAAGTTAGAGAAATCTGTGAAATAAGATATCCGCTTAACAGTGAGTTATGGTGCTTTCATAGCTGGGTGGAAAAATTCAGGCAAAAATTAAATATATATATATTTATTTTTTTTAAATTAAAAAAATAAATAAAAAAAATCAGAAATATATTGTAAGTCCTATAATATGTAAATGGTGGACGATACTATAAACCTTGGTTAATTCGTTATTTTTCTAAGACAATATAAAATTGATAGTCTTGCAATTTCCCTTACATATTTGCCAGTCAAACTTAATGTAAATAGTGTATTACATACCGCTGCTTTGTAAATATCGTCCATGGTGATTGATGCTTATCCCAGGAGAGATGATCTTAGTGCTTAAAGTAACTTGACAGAGCTGTGCTTTTATACATGACAAAGAGAGGTACTTAGATGTCACACACTGTTTGCTCCTCCTAAAAAGCACATAGTCCTCCTGTCCAATCAATTAACAGCCTCTGTCAAATTCCCATGAGAATACAAGAGTGACTGCTATGTGTTTCACACTTACAAGAGCATTTATTTATACACACACAGTGAATCCACTGGTTGGAAAATGATTTATTTCATTTTGGAAAGCTGATATATATATTTTTTAAATAGATTTTAATTGTATACTGTATATTATCATAGTTCCTTCAGGATGACAGGGGTAAAAAAAAACCATTAAGTGCAAAGTATATTAAAATAAACACGTTAATTGCACATACAACTCACTTGAATAAAAAATAAATTTATAGAAATCACAATACTAAAATAGAGTAGATGTATTGTGTAAAGCAGTTGTATAAGTAGTAAAATAACTAAAATTAAGTTCCCATTGAACAACCCCCAGAGAAATAGAAAGATAAAATCAGTTTTATGATTGTATTAGCCAATAATGACTCACATTAAACTTCTTAAAGGAACACTGTAGACACCATAACCACTTCCAGATTGAGTAACCAAATTGTAGTGATTATGGCACCTCGAGTCCATGGACACTCTCAACCAGTCTATTCCCACTACCTCTGGTATTAATTCACAAACAGAGGATACCGCACTCACACTTAGTAATCCAGGTGCTTATCAAGGCCAGGGTTGACAAAACTCACTTTAAATTAGATCCAGGCACTCAGGATTGCTGCCGGTGTATTGCAACAAAAACTGCAATGTTTCGGCCTACACAGAGGCCTTTATCAAGCTTGTTTCAATAAACCTGCCTTCCTGCAGCAATCCTGAGTGCCACTGCCCGGACCTAATTTATTTTTTTACTACCCCTGGTATGGTATGAAGCAGAGAATAGTTTCCCCTCTGTCATATTGAAGGCTAGTTTTCAGGCTGCCTGGGGCTGAGAATCTCTACTGAAAATTAGCAAAACATTTGGTAGTGATGCAGAAGATGCCAGGCACCATAACCACTTCAATCCTTTAAAGGTTCATTCTAAGCAACATGGCAACTTTTTCTTACAGAAGTGGTTATGGTGTGAAGACCTGTTCTATGTAGTCTATGTTTTTAAAGTTATTAATTTCCAGAAATAAATACTTGTTTTTTGGGGTGTGTCTAGGGCCACCTCTCCTGACTGTCAATAAACCATCTGAAATGCTCTCTTGTTGGCCTACAATATTAGTTTTGTGCAACTTTTGCGTCTGGCCTAAAAACACACATCAAGCTAACCCCAGAAGCTTTGGACAGGTTAATCATTAAGGGGTGACTTACACTTAAATTGTCAAAGATCAAGGTCCAGGCAAATTAATTCTCAAAATCCCTTATAAAGGAAAAACAAATAAATCAGTTCTGGGTTGATGTCCCATAAAATTGAGTAGAAGTAGTTACCTGCCCCTGCTGGACATATCATCATCAAGTCATATCATGCTAAGTGAGATTCTAGTTAAAGCTGGTGGGAGTTCAATTTACATCTCATTGTAAATGGATAATGAGGCCATCACTTGCTGAACATCAACTTCACCCACAATAGCTTTACATAGCAAGCGACCATTTTAAAGGACATAAAAATGATTACTAAAAAATAACACTTGAACTAATACAGCTCTGAGATGAGGTGTTTTTCTAATAAACCATACACCCATAGGCGTGCGCACGGGGTGTGCCTGGTGTGCCTGGGCACACCGTAATCTACACGACCCGCCCTATGTGCCTCCACAGGCAGGGAGGGAGGCAGGAGAGGACCCGGGGAGCTCTAGCCAGCAGCTCCGCCTGGTGCCTCTCGCAAGGTCGGAGGGTTGCCGTGGCAATGCTCAGATCTCGCGAGAGTAAACTCTAGCCTGCAGGCTAGAGTTCACTCACCACTGGACCACCAGGGATGGCAGCAGCATGATCCCCCCTCCCTTCTTACCTTTTGTAAGATCTTGCGAGAGTAAACTCTAGCCCCGCAGGCAAGAGTTCACTCACCACTGGACCACCAGGGATGGCAGCAGCACGGTCCCCCTGCCCCCCACAGTCACTCCAAACAAATACACACAACCAGCACCCTCACACACACAGCACCCACACACATACAGCACCCTCTCACACACAGTACCCTTACACATACACACACAGCACACACACACCCTCACACATACAACACACACACAGTACACACACTAACAGCACCTTCACACACACACACACAGCATCCTCACACACACAGCGCCCACACACACACTGCACCAGCAGCCTCACACACACACTGCATCAGCACCCTCACACACACAGCGTCCACACACACACTGCATCAGCACCCTCATACACACAGCACCCTCACACAAAGTGACTTCACACACACAGACACACAGCACCTTTACACACACCACCCTCACAAACACAGCACCCTCACACACACACAGCAACCTTACACACACATAGCACCCACACACAAACAGCGCACACACACACACACACACACACAGCACCCACACACAGCAGTATAGATATATATATATATATATATATATATATACGCGGCGTGTGTGTTTGTGCTTTAGGGTGCACACCCTTATGCAATAGGCTGCGCACGCCTATGCATACACCACAGTAAAACCTCCACAGACATTTTTACTAGATATTTAACTGCAGTTGACTAGACAATGTATAGCATTAATATGGCAGCAATTGGATTAGGACACGATTGTAAAAATGTTAGCAAATTCATACTGGTTTTTTTTCTTTTCAAAATTTAAATATATCCATTAAAAAAAATACATTTTGTCTGTGTATATTGTATGTTCTCCCCTAATTGTAAAGCACTGCGGAATACGTTAGCGCTTTATAAATGCCAGTAATACACAAATTAAACGAGCACTCAAAGAGGCTTCACTTGTTTCACTATTTAAAAAAAGTGTTCCTGTTTTGCATTTGGAATGGAAAAGATACCATTGCATACAAATGGAACCCTATAGTATTCCAATTTATAGTGACATCTACTGTTTTATGTGGTATATTACATATAAGAAAAATAAGCAAAAAACTAGCCCTTAGTTTTATTATGGTGCACAATGACATTCAGATAATTAGGGACACCCTAAGATTAGAAATGGTTCTAGATATGATGCATTAATATATGCAAGTGAAATAAGCACCCATTTGCTTTGTTTTTATAATGTTGGGTAGTACTTAAATATGTAAATTTATTTTCAGAGTGTTTGTGACAATGTCTGTTGGCCCCACAAAAAAAGCATTTTAACCTACAGGATGCAGAAGACTAAACAAACGCTAAATTTAAAACTAGCAGGTTTTGTTTTTAAATTGTGGCTACTCCTATTTCATGAAAACGTATACAGTGAGAATTTTTAGCAATTAAATGTGAATTCAAGGTGAATCTGAAATTTAATGCCAAGTAGCAAACTGGAAGCATAGCTGACTCAGAGAGATTTTTCAGTTTGGCCTTAAATGTGAAATTTACTTTGAATTCACAATTCTCCCTTTAATTAATAACCCCGATAATTGAGCATTGCTTTAACCCCTTAAGGACACATGACATGTGTGACATGTCATGATTCCCTTTTATTCCAGAAGTTTGGTCCTTAAGGGGTTAAGCTCAAGTGTTACCACCAATATGTGTTGGAATTGACTGTCCTAGGTTTAAGACAACCTCTGAATGCAGTGAACATCTTTAGTTATAACAGCTACTTGTTGTCAGAAGGAGCTTGTGCTAAAGTGACACTATACTCACCAAAACAACCTTAGCTTAAAGGGACACTGTAGGCACCCAGATCACTTCAGTTTATTGAAATGGTCTGAGTGCAATGCCCCATGTCGTAATTATTGCAGTTTCTGAGAAACTGCAATAATTACCTCTTAGGGTTAACTCCTCCTCTAGTGGCTTTCTAATAGTCAGCCACTAGAGGGACTTCCAAAATTGAAAGGATCCTTGGTCCGTTATCTGATGCTGGACGTCGTCACGCTCTGCATGATGACCTCCAGCGTCAGATTTTTCCCCATAGGAAAGCATTATTCAATGCATGCACACTAGGTCTCCCCGGCACTATAGAATCCCATTAATTAAGCAGTTTTGGTGTATAGATCATGTTCCTGAAGTGTCACTGCTCATTTCTCTCCCATTAAGGAGTTAAATAACCTTGTTTATGCAGCCCTTGTCACAACTCCCTGCATGTGACTTACACAGTCTTCTTAAACACTTCCTGTAAAGAGTCTTCTAATGTTTACACTTCCTTTATTGAAAATTCATTTTTTTTTAGAATTTCTTATCTCCAGTTCTGTTAATTGCTTGCTAGACCCTGCAGGAGCCTACTGTATGTAATTAAAGTTCAATTTACAGAGCAAGAGATAAAAACATTTGAATCAAGTTACATCTGATTGAAAATGAAACCATTTTGTTTTTATGCAGACTGTGTCAGTCACAGCAAGGAGGTGTGGCTAGGGCTGCATAAACAGAAACAAAAGTCATATAACTCCTAAATGACAAAGAATTAAGCAGTGAGATTTCAGCGACATGATCTAAACACAAAAACTGCTTTATTAAAGGACCACTATAGTGCCAGGAAAACATACTAGTTTTCCTGGCACTATAGTGCCTGGAGGGTGCCCCCACCCTCAGGGACCCCTTCCTGCCGGGCTGGATGGCGAGGAAAGGGGTTAAACTTACCTTTATTCCAGCGCTGGGTGGGGCGCTCTCCTCCTCCTCTCCGCCTCTGATCCTCCTTTTCGGCTGAATGTGCATGTGCGGCAAGAGCTGCACGCGCATTCAGCCGGTCTCATAGGAAAGCATTTACAATGCTTTCCTTTGGACGCTTGCGTGTTCTCACTGTGATTTTCACAGTGAGAAGCACGCAAGCGCCTCTAGCGGCTGTCAATGAGACAGCCACTAGAGGATTTGGAGGCTGGATTAGCCCATTTATAAACATAGCAGTTTCTCTGAAACCGCTATGTTTATAAAAAAAGGGGTTAATCCTAGAGGGACCTGGCACCCACACCACTTCATTAAGCTGAAGTGGTCTGGGTGCCTA